CACTTACTGTATGTAGACGACACCGCCTACTGTATACTGATGATATCATTTACTGTATGCACATAACACCCTTACTGTATGCAGACGACATTGCTTACTCTATGCAGCTGACACCGCTTACTGTATGCAGACAACACTGCTTACTGTATGCATATGACACCGCTTACTGTATGCAGTCGACACCGCTTATTGTATGCAGACAACTACGCTCATTTTATGCATATGACACCGGTTACTGTATGCAGATGACACCGCTTACTGTATGCAGATGACACCGCTTACTGTATGCTGATGACATCACTTACTGTATGCAGACGACACAGCTTACTGTATGCTGACGACACCGCTTACTGTATGTATCCAGCATCGCTTACTGTATGCAGATGACACCGCTTACTGTATGCAGACGACACCACTTACTGTATGCAAACGACACTGCTTACTCTATGCAGACGACATCGCTTACTGTATGCAGATGACACCGCTTACTATATGCAGCCGATACCACTTACAGTATGCAAATGACACCGCTTACTGTAAGCAGACGACACGTGTCCACTTACTGTATGCAGATGACACCGCTTACTGTATGCAGACGACACCACTTACTGTATGCAGACGACACCGCTTACTGTATGCAGATGACACCGCTTACTGTATGCAGACGACACCACTTACTGTATGCAGCCGATACCACTTACTGTATGCAGTCGACACCACTTACTGTATGCAGATGACACCGCTTACTGTATGAAGACGACACCACTTACTGTATGCAGACGACACCGCTTACTGTATACTGATGACGTCATTTACTGTATGCACATAACACCGCTTACTGTATGATGACAACATCGCTTACTGTATGCAGACAACATTGCTTACTGTATGCAGCTGACAACGCTTACTGTATGCAGACGACACCGCTTACTGTATGCAGACGATACCGCCTACTGTATACTGATGACATCATTTACTGTATACACATAACACCGCTTACTCTATGTAGACGACATTGCTTACTCTATGCAGCTGCCAACGCTTACTGTATGCAGACGATACCGCTTACTGTATGCAGACAACATCGCTTACTGTATGCAGATGATAACGCTTACTGTATGCAGACAACATCGCTTACTGTATGCAGACGACATCGCTTACTGTATGCAGCCGACACGGCTTACTGTACGCAGACAACCTCGCTTACTGTATGCAGCCGATACCGCTTACTGTATGCAGACAACCTCGCTTACTGTATGCAGACGACATCGCTTACTGTATGCAGCCGATACCACTTACTGTATGCAGCCGATACCGCTTACTGTATGCAGACAACATCGCTTACTGTATGCAGCCGATACCGCTTACTGTATGCAGACAACCTCGCTTACTGTATGCAGACGACATCGCTTACTATATGCAGCCGAAAATCATGAAAAGTGGTATTTGTGGGGGGGGTACTCACATTGAAGTGCTATATGTATACATGCTGCCAAAATGGGTCCCAAATTCACCACTTCTGTCTGAAAAGGGGTATGTTATTTTACGCTGTCTGTCTGAAAAGTGGTATCCATTTTTCATTATTTCTGTCTGAAAAGGGGTCCATATTTTCCAAAGAGCTTGAGTGATCCAACTGTCAGAAGAATTCTAGCCCACCTGCTTTTCCATTGGTACCATTTATGATTACTGTCTGGAAAGAGGTGTAAAAAAGGCAAAAATCATGGGCTAAATTACCTCCTGTAATTACCTCACGTGAAATAAGGGTTTTGGAATGTTTACTTTAGTCAGGAAGCTAGAGATTTCAATAAATGTGTGCATTTATTTCCCTATAGAATGGATGACTTTATATAAAGCAATATAATCTATTCCAGTAATAACACCGAGTATTACAGGCAGTACAAACTACAGTTTAGAATATAATAAATAATTATCATTCCTAGTAAAACTTTGCAGATTGGCTGACAAGCTGGGTTATGCATGTCACCATTTGGAAATATAGTCTGACAAACACTCCAAGAAAAATAATATGATTTTATGTTTATGTAGTGCTTCGAATACAACAAAACAAATATATTTGCTTTCAGACAAGGACCCCAAATTTCACAATAATCGCGCCGGCCTCGTACGCACGACATTGCTACAAAATAAAAGACGTAAAGAAGATAACTATTTAGCATGATTTATATATGTACTACTATTTTAACATGATTACTATTACTTGTTTGGCTTTTTCAATAACAATTATGTAAAACTGAAATTGCAATTGACTGGAAGCCTATTTACAAACAAAATGAAAAATATTCATATAATGAAACTAGCAAGTGAATGCATTCAATGTATACACGCACTGTACTGATTTGATTACGTACATAGTTATGTCCTATACCTCAAACAACTTACAGTAAATTTCGTAAATACCTTTATTTCGAAACGACAGTATGCGGTATCAGAGTGAAATAGTGTTCACAAACGTGTCCAACGATGTACTGCTGTGAAGTCGTTTCCATGGTAATTCAAATTTCCACATGTACCTGAAAGATGTGAATTTGAACAGTGGTTTATGAATGATTTATATCACAGTGGCATGATCTGGTGGGTAAAAGAATTACAGCCACTAGAAAAATAATGTACAGGGATTATGATACAAGATGACAACTTACCGTTGAGCCCGGGCGAAATGTCAAATACGTCGCCGCCATCTTGAAAGGCTCAGCATCTCTTTCCACACCAATATTTGTGTTTGTCATTCCCCATGTGTCATAAATTTAGCGCTCACTGTCACGTGATAAATTTCAATTTTGGTTTAGCATTAGACGTTATATGAAATTCAATGCACAATTCTTACAAAGTCCTCAAATGTTCGATCACGCTTGCGTTATTTGACAACCGTTAGATTATCACAACATCATGTCATCGACATTTGATATATTGCAGTGACAGGTCTATCTGTTTATATCTGTTTTGCATACGGCAAATGTGTTTGTCTTGAATGCCAATGACATCGCCCAAATGACACATCTTGAATAAGTTTCTTATCGCAATATTTATCACAGCATATGATTAGTGACCAATGATATCTGTTAAGGTGTTTTCATGTCAGAATGTCATGCTTGATACATTCATTATTATTTTGGTCTCACTGGGAATATGCAAATAATCTGAACTAGATACCACGTGTGTATTGAACACTGAGCGCATACGCAGAAAACAAGTACGCACTGTTTTGATTCACATCATGTCAAAATAATAAACCCTTGAGTAATAATTATCTTTTGAGCACAATCATAGTTAAACAGAAATATATGCATGTGAATGTGTCTTTAACAATATATAATAGTTATGCATACGAGAAAATGGCGACAACGCACTACTGATAAAATAGAAATACATGCATTATTAGTCCAATATATAACACTTTTTTTATCTTGATTCATTCGCATTGTATTTGAGCACGACATGTTTGATTATCGTTCACATTCTCACCAAAGCATAGCCTAGACAAAACGCTCTCGCTTGCTGACATTTGCATGAACTGAATTTCTACATGGTCACGGGACTAATTTACATCGTTACCGGTTGTAGCGCACTTCTTTAAGCAAGAAGTGTAACTTAATATACACAATATTTTGATATACATGTATCAAAATGTAATATTTCATAAGAGGATATTTTAAAAAGCAATACCGAAAATTTTGAACAGATTCAATATTTGTGTTGATATTTTATCTAAGAGAAACAAATTAATTGTTATGATTTGCAAACATGTATGAAATACTGAAAAGCTCCAATGCTCACGCATTACATTCGATGTACACATATGCCCGGGTAATTAAACGAATACTGTTGTGTATGCTGGTAAAACGTTATTTTGATCTAGGAGTTCGATAGGAGATTTAAAACATTTTTCGGGGGGGCGGTTACATACTTAGCGGGAAATAATAACCGAGCGGGAAATAAAAAATAACCTGACAGTGTTACAATTCTAAAAACATAATACAATTGTTGTTCTGCGTAATTGTGAGGTTTTAATTGTGATCAGTCATGTGATCCTGATTCAATTCGATATTTAAACCAGTTTATTTAGTTTTGGGCATCAACGCATGCCAGACATAAAACCTCGTTTCAGCCAATCAGATTGCTAGATTTTGACTGAGAATGTCAACATTTGCAATAAATTTTGCCATAATTTATAAAAATTCTAAATGACTTAATATCATAATTGTTTCCTTTTAATTTATATGTATACAAGTGCATTTCTATTTTGTATGATCTTAAAAAAAAAAAAAAACTTATCCTTTTAAGCATCATAATAATTTTGGGTTTTGTATTGTTAAAGAAAAATAATATCCAACAAAACCCTTATATCGATTTCAATAACGAATATTATGTTATTATTATCGTTAATGGAAAACTAATGCAGACTATATAATTCCGAAATATATCAGTAAATATGTTCAAATTATAATAAAATAAAATAAAATAAAATTCAATATTGAGAAAGTAGACAAAATTGAGTATAAATGGAAAGTCGACCGGCCAGGTATACTATGGTATTGATTAGAAAAACACTCTATGTACAATTCGCTCACAATATGTCTGTGCAGCACAATGTAATGCCTGAAATGAATAGCCAATCCCTGTCTGAGTTCATAAGATGGAATGAATATCATATCATGTGATCATTGCCAGTGATCAAGAGCCGAGTTGTTTTTCATGACGTTCGTCTCTTATTTGATTGTTTTCAAATCATCTACATTATTCACCTATACTATTTCAGCAGGAAGGATATTCTAAAATTCATGTCTAATTTCACCTATCGCAGACCCTTCATTACAGCACAGTCGACTAATAGACATTAGCCTAAATAGCCTAAACCACAGTTATTGACAGTACAACCAACGGATATAATAACAAGAGTGAGCTTCTTGTATACCGCCGTGTCTAGCAGCACCATGAGCTACGTTGTGTACGAAAACGAAAACTGTTCAAGTTGCACCAGGATGAGCAGTCCAAATGTAGGTTTCAATATTAACTGGACTTACTCTGGCATACCTTCAGTGTGTCAAGTAGAACAAGAGCCTCTTATGTATGCAGTCATTACGATAGCACTTCTAGGATTTATCGGTAACGCGCTCTTCATATTTGTAGTGGCAAGAGTTAAATCAATGCGCACATTGCCAAATTATTTCATCATCAACCTAGCGTGTACAGATCTGTTATGTCTTTTCGGTTTTCTCTTGTTCCCATTGCTGAACGCACTCGGAGCAACACACATTGTGATGGTAGTTTATTTACGCGTTCTATTCATGGATATCGCCACGTTTACTTCTATATTCACTGTTCTTCTCATCACAATTGACCGCTACATTGCTATTTGTCATCCTCTCAAAGCATCCAGAATCCAAGGAAAGCGACGTATGTGTAATTTAACAGTGTTAGCGTGGATACTCGGTATGTGCCTCGGACTTTGTGAGTATCTTCCTCTTACGCTATCTCCAATAAACAATACAAATACAGCAAAGATAACTTTGTTTCTGTTTCTCGCGTTCGCTGTCATTCCGTTAATTTGCATCGGTGTACTTTACGGATTCATCGCACGCCGACTGATGACAGCTGATATTATCTTAGAAAAAGCGCATTCTCGATCAAAATGGCGCCGTGAGAAACAGGTTTTACTCGTTTGCACATTGGTACTTGTGGTGTTTTTTATATGCATTTTGCCACAAATATGTATGCTTATATACGCCCCGTTTATGCTGGTAACCTCTATGAGGGTTCCTGTAGAGATGACAATGTGTTTTGCTGTCATTTCCCCATTGATGATGATCATTAATTTTGCTGTGAACCCGTTTATCTACAACCTACCAAGTCGAAATCAGAGGAGAGCTTTTCTTCTAGCGTTTGGTGGTAAGCGAGGAAAGCGGTACCAAAATTCATTCAATAGTCGTAATTATAGTTTGACGTCCGTATGACGACTACTGTTGTTATCTATTATTCGTCATCTCTATAAATGACATACTTTGTACATCCAAATCAATATGAAGACCAATCCATCGCCTATTCGACGTATTAGGATGTCACGGAAATATCGTTTTCAGCAAATGATATATATTAGAGGACATAATTTGTATTGTTAGTATTTTATGTAGTACCTATATTATCACGTGGCCAGTCACGGTGCTTCAGAGCATGGTTTTCATAATTTTCGTCTTTTATTTTATTTTTATCATTTACATTAAAACCTACCAATAAAAAAAGGATATTCTAAAATTGCAAAGCAGCTATAACAGCTATAATCTAGTTGCTGACGAAGTCACTAGACATGATGATTATATTGGAATATGAGTGTATGATTTGCCCTATAATGCCACTAAGGGTTACTGCACGTGACTTTTTTAATCATTTATCAAAAATAATGAATTACAACGAATACAAATTGTCAAAGATTGTAGATTCATGAGGCGTGATACATTTTCATCGCAATCAAATAATGCATGGACAAATTCTTTACGGAAAGTTTGTTATTTTAATAGGTGTGCGTAGACGTTGGTTTGTCTGATCAATGCGCTGAACAGAAAAATAAATATCGGCCATGTGAAATAAAACAAAATGCTTTGTGCTATTGTCAAGTCGCTATGACTGTGTAGGTAACACGTAGCACACATACACATGCCACTGTAATACAAACTACACATCGTAATACACACTATATATAGTAATACACACTGCATATCGTAATACACACTGCATATCGTAATACACGCTACACATCGTAATACACACTACACATCGTAATACACACTACATATCGTAATACATACTACACGTCATGATACGCACTACACATCGTAATACACGTTACACATCGTAATACACGCTACACATCGTAATACACACTACATATAGTAATATACACTAAACATCGCAATACACGCTACACATCGTAATACACACTACACGTCGTAATACACACTACACATCGTAACACACGTTACATATCGTGATACATGCTACGTATAGTAATACACACTGCACATCGTAAGACACGCTACACATCGTAACACACACTGCATATCGTAATACATACTAGACATCGTAACACACGCTACACATCATAATACACACTACACATCGTAATACACACTACACATCGTAATACACACTACATATAGTAATACACTGCATATAGTAATACACAATACACATCGTAATACACACCACACATCGTGATACACACTACACATCGTAACAAACACTGCATATCGTAACATATCGTAATACACACTGCACATCGTAATACACGCTACACATCGTAACACACACTGCATATCGTAATACACACTACACATCATAATACACACTACACGTCGTGATACGCACTACACATCGTAACACACGTTACACATCGTAATACACGCTACACATCATGATACACACTACACATCGTAATACACACTACACATCGTAATACACACTGCATATAGTAATACACGCTACACATCGTAATACACGCTACATATCGTAATACACACTACACATCGTAATACACACTACACATCGTAACACACACTACACATCGTAATACACACTACACATCGTAATACATACTACACGTCGTGATACGCACTACCCATCGTAATACACGTTACACATCGCAATACACGCTACACATCGTAATACATACTAAACATCGCAATACACGCTACACATCGTAATACACACTACACGTCGTAATACACACTACACATCGTAACACACGCTACACATCGTAATGCATGCTACATATAGTAATACACACTACACATCGTAATACACGCTACACATCGTAATACACACTGCATATCGTAATACATACTAGACATCGTGACACACGCTACACATCGTAATACACACTACACATCGTAATACACACTACATATAGTAATACACTGCATATAGTAATACACACTACACATCGTAATACACACCACACATCGTGATACACACTACACATCGTAATACACATTGCATATCGTAATACACGCTACATATCGTAATACACACTGCACATCGTAATACACGCTACATATCGTAATACACACTACATATAGTAATACACACTAAACATCGTAATACACGCTACACATCGTAATACACACTACACGTCGTAATACACAATAAATGACTGTTCATTGTCATTCTCGTCTTAATTATTATTGCTGTGATTACACAAAACTATCTGTCACTAATCGCAATTCCATTTTATAACAACACCTGACAAAGGTACAATGTTATCATTAATATCAGAGAGTACTGTTAATAACGGCGTGTCTGGTACAATGTTGTCGCCACAAGCATTATGTACTTTTATGTATTTCAGACATTATATGCATATTCTAGTACTTGTACCAACACCAATACATATTATGTTAAACGTAATTCACCTGTAAATATACACTGAGCATCTTTTAATTTAATGAAACAAATGTAACAGAAATGTTAGTTATAAAGTTATATTTCGGAAATGCATTACGATGTTACGATGTATCTATCGAATGTTTATGTCCACAGTTTTTGTTATATTACACTGTATTTTGCATCACAGCTCGGTGTTTTCATTTCAGGTTTGGGGTAATACAGCGATAGTTACTAGTAGTTCGGTATTTGGTCGCTCTCGTCAAATGTGTGCATGCTTGTAACTTCTGCCTCAGTATTCGACTGTTTATGAAGATTACCTGTGTTGAATATATACAATATAGTTTGTTTTACAGTATTAAAATGAAATTAAACACATTATTTGATCATTTTTTAACATGTATGCATCAACGCAAAGTTTGAAATACACCAGTATTTGAACAACTCAAAAAAATACATACACAAACTGCTGGTTTTAACGTTCGACGTGGATGCCAGTCAGAGGCGTCGGGTGTTAACGTTCGACGTGGATGCCAGTCATTCTGCATGGGGCGAGATCTGCTTACCATCCCTCGCGCCTAGCGAGACTTTAATATGGAGGTCCGAGGCATGGTCCTTCGAAAAAATGAAATCTGGACCCTCTGAAACGCTATTTCCTGCATTTTGAGGGACAAGACAGGCAAGTACACCACTAATAGGGAACTTTTTGCTGGGCGTATTAACACTGTATACAGTAAATTTGAGCTTCGACATTTCTGGCAGTTGTGATTGTGTGCTATGTATGGCACGGTATTTGGCTGTATACGCTGAACACATAATTTGATTGAACAAACACGACCCAGTAACGTCATTCCACTCACCTCGCTAGCGTTTTAAGAGATTTGCAACATAAATAACTAGCACATTATTTTAGTTTCATTTGAGCTTTTCGCAACATAATAATACTGTTGTAATGATTATGAAATGGAACGTTTAGGGACAGAATATATAGATTCCAGCCTGTTATGTTGTCACCTGTTGTAGATTGTGATCACCAATCACAACACGGAAAAAATACCAAATAATGTCACAGTGTTAAATATTTGGATAAACGCATCACATTTCGAATTCCCTGTTGAGTTGAGTTTCATTGCGAGTTGTATAGCTTCTCCAAACCATCAATCCACTGCACGGGGTCGTTTACACCGTGTCCCCGTGATTTGTTAATAACGTTTAACATGTACGTGGGCACACTGCCGACGATACGCATACAGTCGAGATTAGACATTGCTTTAAAGAAAACTCGTAGGTTTACTTAATGTTCGCATATTGTAGTTGGCTACAGTTGTATTCATACACTGAGTGTAATTCCCACACATTTCACGCATATTGTAGTTGGCTACAGTTGTATTCATACACTGAGTGTAATTCCTACACATTTCACGCATATTGTAGTTGACTACAGTTGTATTCATACACTGAGTGTAATTCCCACGCATAACTGCACATACAACACTGTACGTGACCTAATCTTTTTTCTCGAGGGTAATTTTCTGGAGAATTCTCCTAATGCGGGCATTATCTAATTATCGTCCACCCACGAGCCATCTACAGACTCGTGACTCTTGTCATTGTTAGAGCACAGGGAGCCCAGATACTATAATCAACTGTAATACGCAGTCTCTATGAGCGCGGGGGGGGGGGGTTATCGGCTGGTATCTAGTGTAAGAAATAGACAAGGGATGAAGGCTCCAGCCAGCTCACATTTTTTAAACTCGAAAAAACAGACGAAAAGAATGAAAAATAAAATCTAAAAAAAATACCAGGTTGAAGAATATTAGTTGCTCCTTCGAATTTCGCCAAAGCCTTACCTACATTTTACCGATATCTGCAGAATAAATCAAGAAAACTACACAAATTGACTCCATTTAGGGATTCCTAACGGTTTGCCCGAACGCATGGCAAAGTTTGGAGGCGTGGCCTGTAAGCATTTGGCAACAACCAATCACAAAACTGGTTACGAACCACATCGAGGTCACGACTCGGTTAGCCTTGCTCAACTGGTTCGTAACCAGTCTTGAAGTATTTGATCACTGTGTTCGCATTATTCTTATGTTTTGTATATGAATGACTTTTTAAACATCCTCGACTTCATACCAGTATCATATTGATAATCGGAACAATTAGTTAATTATTGACATTTAGCCTCTGCCAGAAGAAGTCACAAGGCATGGCGATTTTATTCGAATACGAGTGTGCTGCACAGACAATGTCACCAAGGGTTACTGCACATTGCTATTTACAGCGAGGTCACGTGTATAACTCAGCGTCTACTCGAGGATATTGGGATACGGTCAGTGTATTTTTTAGTCTATAATGTCATCAACGGTTACTGCACATTGCTATTTCTCAAAAAAATACGTGTGTACAATTTAGTCTTTAGTTCCGGAAGAAGTCACGAAGCATGGCGATTTTATTCGAATACGAGTGTGCTTCTCATACAATGTCTTCAAGGGTTACTGCACATTGCTATTTTTCATCTGTCACAATAAATAACAATGTTTGCAAATTATGAAATAAATACACTTGTAGATTCATG